GTGTTGTTTTAGAATTAGTACCTCTTAGGGGTGAATAAAATCAAGCCACGCCCACAAAACAGGACCAGGGGTTCTTTTCAAAATTCCGATGACCACGTACCCCCGTTCTTTTTATATGGGAGTGCCCCTCCCAGGTCAGATTAGCCCGTTCGCACAGCCCAAGTACAGTTGACCCCACTATTTCGAACTCTCAGGGGACTAGCTTATTCCAGGCTCTGGTCAGTGGGGACGATCGAAAAAGCGGTTGGGCGACGAGCGCCCCGCTCGTCGACCGCCCGCTATTTCGATCGTCCCCACTGACCGAGAGCCTGGAACAGGCTATCAGGGAACGCGAAAAATAGTTCGAAATAGGCGATAGTAAATGAATGAAGAGGAAATTCGAGGGAAATGGTTTCGAGTTTGAAATAGCGGGGAATTCGAAACAATCGAAATAGCGGGGTAGCCTGGGATCTAGTATTGCACAAGATGGCCGACGACATCGAACAGCAGGAAGACGAACTGCTTGCTTTAGCCTCTATTTACGATGAACGAATCTTCATTCAATCATCAGAGGAGAAGGGAGGCCAGTTTAATGTTTTCCTTGAGTTACCAAAGCCTTTCAAACTAAGAATACAGTCTAGATACCTGCCTAGAAGTAACAAAAGTCGAACGCGTGAAGGTGCAAACGGAGCAGAGAGGACTGAAAGTTTTGACTTGCTGACAGTGGAGTACCTTCCTCCGATCGTGTTAAATTTCAGATTTCCTGAGGATTATCCCTCTAAGAGCCCTCCATTATTTACTCTGTCATGCAAGTGGTTAACCGTTTTTCAGGTAAGACAAATTAAACGTAATATTTGCTGACACGAGTTTTTTTTGTCATTATGCAAACTTAAGGTTATAAGCTAAATCACTGTTTTATTTGCGTCTTTCTATGGCTGCCTCAGTTATTACGATTTTTTTTCGATAAATCAAATTTTACGTTTTAAGTCGTACGTTCAGATGAGCTCCAATGAGACCTTTATTTTACTAAAAAAATACCTTCAAGCAAGAGATTTTTTTAGATAATTTACAAGAATTTTCAAACCTGTAAGCCAAAAATGCATTAATTCATGGATGTTTCCCAGTATGGAAACTGCAACACTACATTTACAACCTTGTGTGCCACTTTCAGTTGTCAAAGCTTTGCAAATGCCTTGATGAAATGTGGGCAGAAGAAGGTGGAGGAGAAGTAATCCTATTCCGATGGACACAGTTTCTACTGGATGAGACTCTGCCATTGATGAGTGTGGAGAGCCCATTTCCTCTGCAGTTTAAGAAAGCCCATGGACAAAATAACAGGAAAAGAAGAGGAGATCCAAGAGCTTTCCAAGATGTCGCGTCCCACCATAATTTAGTCGGTGCTGTATTGGAATATGACCAAGAGGAGAAAGGGAGAGTTTTTAATAGCAGTTATTTTACATGTAATGTTTGCTTCTGTGAAAAGCCTGGATCACAGTGCATTGAATTCCATGACTGTGGCCATGTGTTCTGTGTGGATTGCATGGCTGGGTACTTCAAAGTTCAGATTGAAGATGGTGCTGT